TGGAGTTTGGCCAAGTTTTTAGAACTCATCAAATGTAAGGATGCTATGTAAGGAATAGCACATTCTTCTGTTCCTGATGCTTTTGGAGTGTGAGGATTCTCACTGGATTCTATGGCCTGATGAGAATGTGAGGTCGAATGGGATCTCTTTGAGAGCAGAGATTTATGTTATATAAGCAGTGGAGATTCACAAGAGGTAATGTTAACAGAGCAGAGAATCCAATGCATAGGAACTTTTAATAGAAAAGATTCAAAAGGTTTTATTTTGTTGACATATATGTCTTGGGAGATTTATTTTGACATATAAAATACCCTGTATTTAACTGATTGCACCTATAAAATAAAAATAAACCGAGATTTGTACCAACAAAATATTGAAGCTAATGTTAGGAACGAATGAAACACGAATTATTTAAAAAGAGCTCAAGCATAAAAATGAATGAGTTTTTGTATATTTTTTATTCTACTTACCTACATATGTCAGAGAAAGAAAAAATATATATATATTCTGCCTTTATGATGCCAAATACCCGTGGGTTTTAAGATACCTGAATGAAATGACAGATGTTTTTATATCTCACCCAAGCGTTTGCTGTTATATTACCCTGGGAGGATACAATGACGAGATTTTTCCTCTCACAAAACTTAGATCCTTATTGAATTTCTGGAAATATGAAATACATGGATTAAAATTTAAAATTCCATAAACTGCATGATTAATCTTTAGTGTCAAACATCTAGAATATGTACCAAAATTTGAATATTTAGCTTCTTCTATATAATTGAACTTTCACCGAACATCAATCAAGTATTTGTTTTTTGTTTTTCTTGAAAAAATTTTTAATGTTTGTTTATTTTTGACACAGAGAGAGAGAGAGACAGCATAAGTGGGGCAGGCACAGAGAGAGAGGGAGACACAGAATCCAAAGCAGGCTCTAGGCTCTGAGCTGTCAGCACAGAGCTCATCCCAGGGCTTGAAATCACAAGCCATGAGATCATGACTGAGCTGAAGTCAGAAGCTTAACCGACTGAGTCACCCAGTTGCCCTCTTTTTTTTTGTTTTTTTCTAAGCCACTTTTATTTTTCTAAGTAAAATCAATTTTTGTTTCTGATTATAAACATGAACTCAAAACATGTTTGTAATCATGCATAAATGAAAATAATGCATAAAACTGTAAACATGAAAATAAAAATATAATAACCTAATTTACAACATGGAGACTCAGATCTAAAGGGGGAACTGAGAATCTGTATTTTTAAAGAGCCTTCCCGCCGCGCTCCGCCCAGGAGTACACATCACTGGTTTAAACACAGACTGAGTTGCTCAAATTTTAATGTGCAGATGAATCGCTTGTAAATTTATTAAAGATTTTGATTCAGGAATCTCAGTGGGGCCCAAGGATCTGCATTTGTATTAATATCTTTAGGAGATAATCATACTGCTTGTCCAAGGTTCGTGGTCAGATGGCTTTCTCACGTTTTTTTAGAAAGCTTTTAAGGATGAGGGGCACCTGGGTCAGGTTAGGCATCTGACTTCTGTTCTGGTCATGACCTCCAGGGTTCAGGAGTTTGAGCCCCACTGCTGGGCTCTGTGCTGACAGCTCAGAGCCAGGAGCCTGTTTTGGATTCTATATTTGCCTCTCTCTGTGCCCCTCTTCTGCTTGCACGTTCTCTCTCTCTCTTTCTCTCTCTCTCTCAAAAATAAATATTCAACAAATAAAAAATAAAAAGCTTTCAAGGATGAAAAATTTACAACCTTTTCGGATATTGTCTTGACAAAGTTTACTCAAATTACAAAAAAATGTTTTTCAGGATGGTAAGTTCATTTAAGACTAATTTAAATATTGGTTCTCTCTCTTTATAAGATTATTTTTTAAACTAAAATGTACAAGAACAAGTAATTGCTTCTAAAGACTATTGCATTTGGATAGATGCTGTTAGCTAGAAGTTCACCTTTATATTTGTGCTCAGCGCACTCAACGGTCAAGTGCATTTTCTTGAATCATTATCAATTTATTTCCACCCAGGCCTTCTTCTGGAGTTAACAGTTCTGCAGAATGCCTTTTCTAATGATCAGACTTCATTTATTTCTAGACAGCCTACCTATAAATGAAGTCTTGACTCCTCAGAATTCTGAAGAAACAACCGATGTTGAATGAAAGAGGTGCTTTTTTTCTTTTTTTTAAAGACAAATCTGGAAACAATCCCAGATTATGTATCAGTCCCATTAATTTAGACATCAGCTGGGAAAACTGTAGAGAATAAAAACTTCATTTATTATAATGTAGGGGTTCATTATTTTTCTTCCTGGAAAACATCTGTTTTTAGTTCTTCTCAGCATGTGTTACATAAAAGCCTGGAAGCAGCTTCTATAGATTCAGGTTTTAGATACATGGTTGGACCTGTGGGTATAAATCTAACAGTGGTCACTTTATAACAATAATTACAATGGACCTATTTTCAGGGCTGTGTATCTGGTACTGTGTGAAACACTTAATTACCATTATCTTAATCTGACATAAAAATGTCAAAAAATGCTAGAATACTAGCATTAACTCTATTTTAAAGATGATAACTTTGTGAAGTTTAGCAAGGTTAAATAACATGCCCCAGGCCATTAAATAGTGATAGAGGAAAGACATGATAAATCTAGAAAGCAGAACTAGTACTTCCTAACTTCAAAATGTATACTCTTAATTTCTCCACTCTTTTTTTTTTAACCTCTCTCTGGCTCAGTAGGCATCCTCAAGTATGATAAAATCTGTCACTGATAATTTTATATGAAATAATCGATTTATTTACTGTTTTGGCATCTAACAGATGATGACTCTAAATAAATTATTGGTGCAATTCTACAAAGTGGTATTCTTTCTAAGCAAGTATCCTTTGTATTTTTACTTAATGTATTTTTCCTACTTGTCTGCCAGATGATGGTAACACCAGTAACACAGCACTATCATGCTTGGGTCATTTAGTTGTTAGTATGAGGAGTTGCTATAAGTGACCAAGCCAAATGATTTAACATTTCTTCCCTTCCCTTGAAGAAACTTGAATAGGGTACATTTGTCTGACAGAGACAGAAAGAGACACACAGAAGGCAGGGGAAAGGAAGAGGGAGAAATGTTTTTTTAAAGACATATTTGCATGGATGAATTAAATGGTGGTACAATTCCATAGTGATGATGTCCAATGGGCTAAGCACAGTCTTTTCTCAAAGTTGTTGAAGGGATTTGAAAATTTCTTTATCAGAGAGCTGTTATTTCTTCTTAAATTAGTAGGATTTAGGTCATAGGATTAGAGCTCTATTAAGCAGTGTTCAGCAGTGCTCTAGAGAAATGATGAATTGAGGTCCAAGAAGGATTTTCCTAGCAGAGAACTTGCCTCCGCCAGCACCAAGGCCTTTCTCTTTGAGAGCTCCTTGAAGCTTTGTCTAGCCCATCGTCCCCTATATGGGTGCTTTATGAAATTTAAATGTTGTTTAAAGTCATTATGGCAATTGAAGTGCAAGATGTAAGGCTGGCTATGTTAGGTTTTATGCAGATGTGTGGCTCAGTTTTTATAACATTTCCTATTTATAAAGCTTTAAAGGAATGAAAGAGGAGATTACTTGCTTACTAAGTTGATCCATGCCAGTGATTACTCTTAAAACTTCATCTCCCATCCACATTCTCAAACCTGGTTAATCATGCAATCAGCTTTCGTCTGCCATATGTAGTCATCTATTTACCTATACATACACACATATACATACATATATTTTATATATGTAAATTGATGAATGAGTGTGATTGAAGAAAGATGATAAATATGGTTTGTGTGTGTATGTACATACGTATGTATGTATATTCAGGGTAATGTGGCAGTGGTTTGATTTCTGATCAGATCCATTCTTTACCATATATTTACAAAAGTAAATGAAGATAGGGATGGGACACTTTACATTTTAAGTTTGTAATTTAAAAAATTTTACCATAAACCATAGAAATAACCAGCATTCACTGAATGCTGCTAAAAATGAAAATGGCAGTTGTTGCAAGGTTTACATTGGCCCTAGATCTGAAAAATGTAATTCTCTTGTGTGGGCGGCAGGGAGAGGGGAGTTGGACCTTGGGGCAAGAGGAGAAGCAAGGTCTAGGAATTCCAATATCTTTCCAAAGTCAGCCTTAACTTCTGGTCTACTTGCGGGGGGTTTCTCCCAGGTTCAGGCATTGAAATCTGAATCACAGGATATTATATGGCTTTTTGATCACTCAAAGTAGGTAATTTCAATTATACAATTATAGTACATTAACCATTAGTATGAGTTTTCAGATCAGGAACTTTCGCTGTAATAAAGACTGGTTTAAAGTCTACAACCAACCTCCATAGTGCCAGGTTCTAAACAATCAAAGATAAATGAACCGCCCTTGCTTTCAGTGCAAGTGAGAGGAAAAAATACACATACACACACCCTGGGGGAAGAAAAAGCAGCAAGACTGAGTTCTCCTTAGTAGTTCAATTGAGAGGGGAGAGGCTTGTCTGGTGGTTTGTGGGAGTGAATCTAATTATCAGTCTCTTACTTTCATTAATAGGTTGGAGCAAGTTAACTTCGTAGAGGAGGAAGAAGTAGACATTACATCTGAATTCTTGAACTACGTTATGATCATTTAAGCATTACTTAAAATAGTTTAAGCATTCACAAAAATTGTTTTTTCTTAATAAGTCCTTCATGAGGTTGGGCAGGTAGACAGGAAGAAAATCAACTATGGAAAAGGCAAAAATATACTTACAGATGTGAAGACAGAGCATTCTGGAAAACTGGAGAGTACACTAATACATTTTAATTTGCATTTATGCAGTTTAATTAGCTAGACTAACCCTCAATGAAAAATGTCATTTTCATCCATTGTAATACCTTCCTGTAATTCTGTTTCATTTCTCCTTTCTCCCCAGTGGTCTGTGAGTAAAAGTCCTCTTGGATGTAGTCTATATGTTTCCTGACCAATATTTTTGTTTTCTTAGCCTCACCAGCCAAAAATCTGATGATGACTATGAAGACTATGCTTCTAACAAAACATGGGTCTTGACTCCAAAAGTTCCTGAGGGGGATGTCACTGTCATCTTAAATAACCTCCTGGAAGGATATGACAATAAACTTCGGCCTGATATAGGAGGTATATTAAAATATTTTGTGATATGGCACAGGCAGAGGCAAACACATTGGAAGAAAAAATTAGCATATTTTAATAATCAGAAATACTTAAATGATCATTATATGTTGTAAAGATGGATACAGAATGTATAAATAGCATTCAGGCTTGGAGGTGGGAGGGCATTGATAAATGCAAAATGAAGAAAGATGATCTTCAAGTGAGGCCTGAGAACTAGAAATTCAAAATTTCCTAGATATCTTAGACAAAGGCTGTAGAAGAAATGTGACAATTGATTTATGAAGTAATATCAAAATGTTATATGTTATATGTATATATAATATCAAAATGTTATGAAGTAATATCAAAATAATAGTAGAAGAAAGGATATATTAGTTACGTACTTCTGTGAAATAAAATATCACAACTCTCGGTAGCATATAATAATAAGCATTTATTTAACATTTTGCCAGGGGTGGTCTAATCTAAGCTAAGCCAGGTTAGGGCTGCTCATTTAAGAAAGCTGTATTCTCATTCTACTCCTGGGAGCAGCAGACTAGCCAGGAGTATCTTTATCATGGAAAAAAAAAAAAAAAAAAAAAAAAAAAAAAAAAAAAAAAAAACACAAAGAATGAGACAGAAAGTAGAAGCTCATAAGGCTTAATGCTTGGGATTAGAACTTGTGTACTCACTTATTTGTGTAGTATTAGCCAACACAAGTCAGATGGTCAAGCCCCAAGTTCAGAGGCAGAGAAGTAGCCTCACTGGAGTACATGCAGGGGCATAGATGCAGCGACTACTGAAGAATTCAATCCAACACAGAAAATTAGGGCATGGCACTTTCAGGGAAAGTGGATAAAGATGAGAGAAAATGTACTTGTTGACTTGAAGTACAGGATGATATTATGAATCCTTGTTCATTAACTGTTAAATGAAAATGGAGCACATCCATTTGGTCATGGATGAAATACTTCATGAGTTTTAATATCATTCATCTTTGACAAATAGGTGTGTATTGACTTTCCATATGGTTTCCTCATATTATTTGATGAGTCACACGATTCAATAAGTCATTTAGGAAGATTGATTTTGTGTTGGCTGAAGTGTATGAGAATTAAGTGGTCATGAAAGGAATCAACAGAGGGAAATATTTTAAAAGAAACTTACAATATTTGTTGTACTAAATGTCTACTTCGTGTTTCTAATGCTCAGTTTTTCTAGATCACTAAGTAGTTATTTTTTCTACATGGGTCAAGTCAGATTATGATGCCCAAAAGATTCTGGGGCTTGAAGAAAAATGGTAAAATTCAGGATATGTAGAAAGGCTAAAGAAAATCTAAGCAGTGTTTTCTCATTTGTTCATCTTAATGTAATTTTAAAGCTTAATCAGTTTCAAAACTCTAATATGCTTAGTTATTGCATATACGTGCTTAAAAGGAGATTTTTTGAAAGTAAATAGTTATTTAAATGTAATAAATTAGTCACCGACACCAAATTAGTTGTGAATAAATCACTTCTTTTAAAATTTTTTTTTTTCAACGTTTATTTATTTTTGGGACAGAGAGAGACAGATCATGAACGGGGGAGGGGCAGAGAGAGAGGGAGACACAGAATCAGAAACAGGCTCCAGGCTCTGAGCCATCAGCCCAGAGCCTGACGCGGGGTTCGAACTCATGGACCGCGAGATCGTGACCTGGCTGAAGTCGGACGCTTAACCGACTGCGCCACCCAGGCGCCCCAATAAATCACTTCTAATGTGGCAAAATAAATCTATTTCTAGAATAACACAGACTAAAACATTAAAATGTTTAATTCACATATCTTTATCATTCTCTTTAAAGTGAAACCAACGTTAATTCACACAGACATGTATGTGAACAGCATCGGTCCAGTGAATGCTATTAATATGGTAAGTTTCTAATGGTTTGTCAATTTTATTAACATATTAGAGAGGAGATGTGGTATCATAAAAATAGCAAAGAATACGCTAACAAAAAATCCATAAGGGAGAGATAGTCGTTCAGATTTTTTTATTGTAATATGAAGATAATTATTTTTTATAATTTGTTATGAGACTTAAATGTGATCATATGTATACAAATTAATTTTTGTAAATATGTTATACTTTTAAAATTCAACAATCATTGCTTACTTGGCAAGTACTCGTTACTACAAAATAAAATACAGTGTTCCACTAGTTTTTGGAAAATGATGGGGTAGAGAGGACAGAGTTTGCTTCATACTGGAATTATTTATCAGAAAATAGTGCATTAGATATAATGATAAATGTAGCTTTATTATTATATGATTCTTTCTGCCCAAATCTGACCTAAGAAACTAGATTGGAGTCTAGAATAGAATAGAGTAGAACATGCTATAACATAATACCTAACCTAACATAACATAATATTAGTGATACTATAATTTTGAAATGGTGTTTATCAAGCTAGCAATAAGGACACTCTATTGAGCCAGAGAGATGAGAAACTTTAAGTGTTCTCATGTACAGTGATGATAAAGTATATCACCTGCATACTCCAAGCAAGTAAGTTCATTTGTTTAAGAATGAAACAAATCCAACAGTTTTCTTCCTTATAAATAAAATTTCCAGCATATTTAGCATTCTAATGCAAAATGTAAATATCTAAGAAGCTATATGGGTAGTTTATTTAAACATAGAACTTTTAACTTCAGGAGTACTAGTCCCCAGAATTGTTATCCCAGGATCGCATTTTATGAAATGCTGGTTCAGTGAAAAAAAGATTTTATTTTTGTGGGATTTATTTATTTATTTATTTATTTATTTATTTATTTATTTTTGCTTCTTGCCAAAATGTAGCTTAGAATTATTATTTTTTTAAAAAAATTTTTTTAACGTTTATTTATTTTTGAGACAGAGACAGAGCATGAATGGGGAGGGTCAGAGAGAGGGAGACACAGAATCTGAAACAGGCTCCAGGCTCTGAGCTGTCTGCACAGAGCCTGACGCGGGGCTCGAACTCACGGACTGTGAGATCATGACCTGAGCCGAAGTCGGCCGCTTAACCGACTGAGCCACCCAGGCGCCCCCAGTTTAGAACTATTTAATTACTTTATCTACTGGTTCGTCACTAATTAGTTGATAAAGAATTTCATAAGATAGGTTCCTTTCTTACTACTTACAGACAACAAATATGGAACAAAGTGTTATGTGGCTTACGCCAGTGGAAATGTAGTCAGCTACAGTGAGACACCTCAGCAGGAGGTGCAAAGAAATCACACAGAGCAATGCAAGTGAGGCAAAGGAAGAAGATTTTAGTCTGATCCTGACAGGCTATGTGTTTTTGGGTAACCTTCCTGTTTTATGTGTGTTCTTCATTATAAAGTGGTGGTTGGTTGATGGTATTAGACAGGAAATGTGGATGATTCCCAACACTCAGCTCTCATATTCTAAGAACACTGAGTTTTTTCTCATTTATAGGCATCAGTGAAATTGTTATAAAATAATGTTAAATAATATCTAAATGTGACAAACCAGAACTTGGGTGTTCAGATTCCAGGTCTAATGGTCTGAATTCACATCAAATTTACTTCTCTTTAAGTAAAGTCAATCACTTGCCAACTTAGTGATGTATACTTCAGCATAGTCATTACAGAATCATGTCTCATCACAGCACTTTGTGAATGTGCTTTGTGATGGAGCTAGCACATTAGTAAAAATTATTTTTTAATTGGTTAATTTCCTCGTTATTAGTGAAAAGGACAACTATAATAGTAAAAATATTTTAAAAGTTACCTTGCATTTGGTTTTTGCTATCTGCCAGACCAAAACCATTTTATGTGAATTCTCCTTTTCCATCTTCACACTACCTAACAAGGCAGGTTCTTAAAGATCCCAATTTTATTTTGAGGCAACTGAGCCGTTCTCCAGAGCTCCAGTTGAGGACTGTTTTGAGTATTATGGACTTTCTTCACTCTTTAGTAGTGATTCTGAACGTAGGTGATTGTTTTCCTCAAGATACATGTGGCAATGTCTGAAGATATTTTTAGCTATCACAATATGCAGGGGGTTGCGTTGGGGGTGGTGGTGTTGGTGCTACTGGCATCTAGTGGGTAGAGGCTAAGAATGCTACTACTAAGCATTCGAACATACACAACACAGCCCCCACAACAAAGAATTAGCTGGCCCAAAGTAACATGAGAAACTGCTGTACAGACACTGAATGCAAATGACTATATTACACTATGATCTTTTGCTAGAATTCATCTAAACAGGTCTATTTTTTTATCAATTTGTCTATAAAAGATGGATGTATCTCCTTAGCAAAGCTTTTGCCTTCTTTAAATTAATTAAAACCAGAGTACCTTTGCTTTATGTTGGTAATGAGAATACAAATGATAAATACAAACAAATGTTCTACATTACAATTCTGTGTTTAAAATGTTCTATTTCACCTTTTTTTTTTTAAAAAAAAACAGGAATATACAATTGACATATTTTTTGCTCAAACGTGGTATGACAGACGTCTGAAATTTAACAGCACCATTAAAGTTCTCCGATTGAATAGCAACATGGTAGGGAAAATCTGGATTCCAGACACTTTCTTCAGAAACTCCAAGAAAGCTGATGCACACTGGATAACCACCCCTAATAGGATGCTGAGAATTTGGAATGATGGTCGAGTGCTCTACACTTTAAGGTATTCTTTTGAAAAAGAAAAAGAGGAATCTCTGGGAATAAAACAAAGATCACCCACACTCTCTTGAAACAAGAGGAATGAAAGAAATTTCAAATCTACATCAGGGTGTGCATGTTTGATCAAAACAGTATGTGGTAGTACAAAATTTGTATTTCTTTCTGTTTTCAATATGCTTTGCAAAGTCATAGGTAGAACTTATTTCTTTGACTGATGTAAGAACTCTGTTTTCTCACACGGACATGAAATGTCCCTTGACTTCATAAGGTTACCTGATCTTTGTGCCTGCCTTGGCTTTTGCATGTGTGTCCTGCTACTTTAAAATAAGGAGACTGAAACAGTTACCATTGGGATCGCCAGTTGTTATGCTTGGAAATGTCTCTGTTTCCAAGGAAACCATTGCTAAAGGAGAAATTTTGGTGTGGAGATCTCCTGTACCTCCTTTTCTTTTCTGCACAATAGTAAGTAACTACAATGAGTTCTATCTGCCAGCACCCACTCCCCACTACACTGATAGGCTATTTGACTTAATTTATTGGCTATTTTGGGAATAGACTTCTTTAGGGATAAGTTGAAGGAGGTATCTTTTATTTTCAGAACTTAAATATGAAATAACTTTTGGGAGATTTTCTACTTAAATTCCTGTATGCCATTATCTTAGCACTTTATTTTATCTATCTATTTACTTATTTACTTATTTATTTATTATTTTAAAAATGTTTGTTTTTGAGAGAGTGCAAACGGGGCAGGGGCAGAGAGGGGGAACAGAGGATCTGAAGCCGACTCTGCCCTGACAGCAATGAGCCCAATGTGGGGCTCGAACTCACAAACTGCAAGATCATGACCTGAGCTGAATTTGGACACTCAAACTACTGAACCATTCAGGCGCCCCTTATACTTACGTGCATTTAAAATGTTTTTATGTTGAGGTTTCAAATGGGTGAGAGTATATTATTAAACATAATAATAGGTAAGTATATAAACTTAAGAACCAGACAGATCTGACTTTGGTTCTTAGCTCTATTTGCCTATCAATATGAATTAGGGCAGCTCTCCAGAATTTCTATGTATATGACTTAAGGGCAGCTATCTGGTTGCAGGGGTCTTGGTGCTAGAAGGTATATCTCAAAGCTTTATTAGTAAGTTTAATGTTTTTACTTGGTTACACTTTTATTTAGAGGAATTAGGTAGGAATTGATGGAGATTATTGGAAATAAGGCACCACCACCCTCATGACACATTCCCCCACCCAAGATCAGTAACTAGGAAAAATGGCCACAATTACAAAAGAAATTCATTGCATATAGTTTGTATTCATCATGGGTTTCATTAAATGAGAGATAAGGTAGTGATTGAAATTAGAATCTAGTGGAAATCAAAGTTTGATATATCAGAGCTCAGTCTAGCTTTTGCAAAATTGAGTCACTCACACTATCTCAAGTCCCTTTATTGTCCTCATAACTGTAGTCATTTTTTAACTTGTAATAACTTGCAGAATCTCTATCCAATATTTAATTATGGAAGTTACTTCAAAAATTCCACTTGTAAGATTCAAAGTTTGAATGAGTTGTGAATCTATAGAGATGATTTTATTCTTGTTGCCAATCTATAAGTTATGAATATTTGTGTGTGCACAGATTATCTATGTGTGTATCTATTTTTGTATCTGCAATCTTTCTAAAGGTGTTTTCAATTTTAATAATTCCAGTTGAACTTGAAAATAATAAAATATCAAATTAATTATAATTTCACTTACAAATAAAACTAACCTTTTCTTTGGAAGAGCATATAATTATTGAATGACAATGATTAAAACCTTCGGGTTTAGAGACAAATAATCTTGGGTTCAAATCTCAACTGTGCTGCTGGTTTTGTGACTGAACAAGTTAAAGTACATTAAAGCGATAATAACATTTATTAAATGAGAGAAAAATTTATCATGCCCAGTGTCACATAGACGATTAAAGGCTGAATAATTATTACTTATATTTTAAGATCAGTAGTTGCTCTATTATACCATAGAAAAATGAAATCTCCCCAATTAATAATTATGCTGAGTTATAAAATCTTTTAAAATAAATTAATATTTATAAAATAATACTTTTATTAGTTCAAGATTATTCTCTGTACTTTGTAAGAAATATAGCTAACAAATAAGAAATCTTAAAAATAATCAACCCACTGCCATTACAATTTTAGAGTATATTCCTACTTGTCCAAAGATGGTCCAAAACATCTGGGACTCCATTAAATTTCTCCATCCTAGAGTCCTAGCCTATATCGAGATCCAGAAAATCTGTAACTTTAATAAACACCCCAGATGCAAACTAATTGAGGTTCACTGGCAAACATTTTTGGAACATGTCTGTATATGTGTATTTAACATTTCTTGTTTGCTATTAAGTACTCTTCTACTCTGTAACATCCTGTCTAATGGCTTCATAGTGTTCCAGTATAAGAATGCATAATACTCCATTGTGAAATATAAGTATGTTAAAACTCACATATAGTAATTTAAATCTAACAGCTACCAAGTACTTACAAACAGAAGGTTCTGCTTTAATTAGCAGATAAGATCTGAGAATTATCAGCATTAATTTACATGCAAACAGTAAATGAGCTTAAGTTCCTAAAACAATTTGTTCTGTTAAGTTAAATATATTCACCAAGCAATCTCATGTGTGCAATTAATTTGCCAAAAAAATTACGTGGTCATAAATTTTGGAAAAAATGGAATTGAAGCCAATGAGATCCTATTGTTTGTTCTGTGAAAATGACTACATTAAGTCTTAAGTAATTTTCTCCTGGACTTGGTGGGTTTCTTCAGGGAGAATCACCTTGAATTATCAATAGGAATATGAGATATATTCTCCAGGAACAAAGATGAAGAATAGTCATTAAAAATTGCATTCATGTACATTCTTAAAATTGTGTCTAAACTCTTTCTATTTGTGTTTCATATCCTTCTGTTTAGGTTGACAATTGATGCAGAGTGCCAGTTGCAGTTGCACAATTTTCCAATGGACGAACATTCCTGCCCCTTGGAGTTTTCCAGCTGTAAGTAATCTCATTCTGTATTCTGTATCCTCTCTCACCAACAGTTTCCTAATTGCAATGCCAACTAATTGGGATACTCCTAGAGAATGCAGAAACAAGCAATGTTGTTGACTTTGAAGATTTTGACAGTTACTTTCATCATAATACCAGCTTAACCCTATTAGAGTGATTTCCTGCAAAAAAGGATCTATTTTATTAGAATTTACAAGGAGCTTTCACTGGGGCAAAAATTTTTAATAAATTCACAGTGGTTGCCTGGAGATATTTTTCTTTTCTTTTTTTCTTAATTTGTATTTATTTTTGAGAGAGAGAGAGCACACATATAGGGGAGGGGTAGAGAAAGAGGGAAACACAGAATCCAAAGCAGGCTCCAGGCTCTGAGGTGTCAGCACAGAACCCAATGTGGGGCTCAAACCCACAGGCCCCACATCATTACCTGAGCTGAAGTCCAAAGCTTAACCTACTGAGCCACCCAGACGCCCCACCCAGAGACCTTTCTCAAGAAGGATTGTAAAGCCAGGCCTGAACTCAATGGAAAGGTATAATGGTAGGTTTTACATCCCTCTTCCCGGCTCCCACCTGCCCCCAATTGGCTCAGAAGAAGAGAGTAGCACCATTTTTGCTATTTGTTCTCTCCCTTACAGTGTCATCTGCTTATTTCGATTTCAGTATATGCGTTAAAGGTAGCAAAATTGAAAATTACCCACTTCATATGGAGTTTGAATAATATCTAGAACTAGTTATCTACCAGTGAATAAAAGACTAGTTTTTGGTGTCTTTTGGGTCTAGTTCAAATCCCAACTCCATCACTATAGACTTGAGCAAATTATTAAATCTTGCAGTGAGTCCACAATCTCAGGTGCCCAGCAGAGACTTTGAGATGTGCCCTCCCACAATATTGTTTTGTTGATGTAATATATGTAAAATGCTTGATATGCTACCTCACACACAATAGGATTCAGTAAAAAGCTCTATTATTTCTATTAATTATTATTATCAGGAAATAGATTATATAGCAAAATGGTCTGTGATGATTATAATACAAATTAAGCTTCATAGATAATTTCCTGCCTGAACTAAACCCAAGCTTCAGTGTCCCCCGATGTTTGCCTCACTAATTGTTCAGGTCCACGTTAGGTTGCTTACCTCTTTCTTATTTTTGGTCTGACAACTATGGATACTAGGCAGAATGAAAAACTTACTATGAATTTTAAGTTTATATTTCTACAAGTAGAATTTCCCAGGCAGGGAGTGACAGAGACCCATACAAACCAACTAAATAATAATAGCTGTCCTTTCAAAAAAAAAAAAAAATCAATGATGAAAGCAGCAATCATCTGTTCATCATTACATAAATTCTAGAAGGAACTAGAGGAAAAATATCACTATCATATCTATTTAGAAAAGTTCCCATTAAATTGGGGCACCTGGGTGGCTTAGTCAGTTAAGCGTCTGACTTTGGTTCAAGTCATATCTCATGGGTTCATGAGTTTGAGTCCCACATCTGGCTCTGTGCTGACAGCTCAGAGCCTGGAGTCTGTTTCAGATTCTATGTCTCCCTCTCTCTCTGCCCCTCCGCAACTCATGCTCTGCTTCTCTTTCTCTCAAAAATAAAATAAAACATTAAGAAAATTAAAAAAATAAAATTTCCCATTATAAATCTTATTTCATATGTTTTACTTTATCCAAGAATGGAATATTTTTAAGTAAAATCCTCCCCAAGCTTTAGGAGATGAGACTTCTTTTCTATTATTTTTTCAACTGGGACTACTCTTCTGAGTCAGATAAAATCTAGAGCTGGTGATTTCTGTGTCTTTAGGTCACTGATGGACACTTGTCTTCTGAACCCAAACACAACTTAATGTTTCTTACTGCTATCAAAAAAGTTAAATCATCAACATGTTCTCCATAGGGAGTTCCCTAACATTACTATTCTTTTTCTTGGTTCAACACATCCTGTCCCCTACCCCTTCTCCATGCCAGTCTGGGGATCATGCTTTCTTTTTTCTTCAATCTTAGTTAATAAGCACACAACACAAGCCTAGTTGGACCAAAAGAAAAGAAAAAGGGAAGACGTTAGGGATCCTATTCCAGGTAGTCAATCAGCCTCCATAATTAAGACTTACATAGCATTATTAGTTCATAAATAGTTGAGATGATGTCTAGTTTTATTTATCATCTATCTATCATTTATCTATTATCCATCTATCTGTTTTTACTTGAGTTTATGCTTTTCTTTTAGATTTTATTTTTATGTGATCTCTACACGGAACATGGGGCTTTAACTTCCAACCCTGAGATCAAGAGTTGCATGATCTAGTGACTGAACCAGCCAGGCACCCCTACAGAGTTTATTCTATAATTTACTTCATAATGTTTATCCACTCAACAATTATACATTGGCCATCAGTCATGAAATAAGTACTACCATCATCTCCATAAAGAAACAAATAATTGAGGGAAAAAAACAAAGAAATTTGTCTAGGGTATTATGGCTAGCAAATGGTACTGATAATCTCTACATAATCAGTGCAATACCTCTCTCATGAAGGCTTTCTGTTCTCTTGGCTGAACATAATTAACTTCTTCAGAATCTACATAGTGCTCATTGGTATCTTCCCCTTGGCATTTCTACTTACTACTTTTTTTTAAAGTGTATTTAGTTTGGGGGGGGAGGGGCAGAGAGAGTGGGAAAGAGAGAGAATGCCAACCTGGCTTCACATTGTCAGTACAGAACCCAATGTGGGGCTCAAACTCATGAACCGTGTGATCATGACCTGAACCAAAATCAAGAGTTGGATGCTTAATGGACTGAGCCACCCAGGCATCCCACTACTTACTACTGTTAATTGTAGATTTCTGCGTGTATTAAAATGAAGTCCCAACAAATTGAGAGAGAGAGAATAATGTAAATAGTTGAGGTTATTTTTCTCAGTCATCTTCCACTCTAAGGGCATACCCTGGAGAGGCATTTGAGTCTCCTCTTCCATTATTTTCTGTTTCTGCATGACTCTCAAAACCTTGCCTTGTTTACTCCTCATCATCATAAAATAATATCTTGCATATGTGCTATTTATCATATATTGGATACTTTTTATATCTTACCTCAGACAATGTAAAGCATGCGTATAGTATATCCGAAACCATGTTTAGCATATCTTCTATGCAAATTAAGTTATTTTCAAGGGTAATCTTGACCTTATGACTTCTTAACTTCTTGTTGGGATAAGATGTCATGTATTTATTTCCTCTATTGCGATGCTCTTTAGTTCAAGATCCTTTTCTAACTTAAAACGCCATCTCTCTCATACTTACCTCAGTGTCTTGTTCATGGAAGGTGGTTGCTACATACATTCATTTATAAATAATTTTAAATATGAGCTTTTCCATCTCATGGCAGATGGCTATCCACGTGAAGAAATTGTCTACCAATGGAAGCGTAGTTCTGTTGAAGTAGGTGACACAAGATCGTGGAGGCTTTATCAATTTTCATTTGTTGGACTGAGAAATACCACTGAAGTAGTGAAGACAACTTCTGGTAAGATGCTCTTGAAAGCAATTTTGAGTGACCCCTTCCAGAGTTAATATTCTGGTATAAATAATTCACAGACTTTTCAATACCTGTATACAAATGATATGCAGAAAATTAAATGAAGTGTTTTAATTTACCAGAGAAAATTATAATTGGTATTCTAGCATAATAGATAAATATAAATGGATTCTATCAGTTTGAAGCAAAATGGATTAAAATTGGATTAGTAACTTATTTGCTTAATTTCTTTAAGCAAAAATGACTAGCAATTATTTTAAAAGCAGACAATATTTATTAGGTGTAGGTGTAATGTTTCTTTTAGGAAATAAGTTTTATGGTATATTAAAATAGCAGCATTTAAAGTAATCACACAGGGAAAATTAACTTTCTGCAAGTACGGAAATGTGATCATAATCGATATGGACTGATGCCGCATTCACTAATTTAATATTTTGAACTGGCTCTATTATGGATAAGGGACAGGCCTCATTTCAAACCCCAACTGCATCAGTTACTAGCTATAGATATTGAGAAAATTACTGAATTTCTCAGGGATTAAATCTCCCAGATAACTAATGTGGACAAAAAACCTGTTTCACAGGCATACTGTGTGTATAAAGGAAAAAAACAAAAAACAAAAAACAAAAAAAACAAAAAAGAAGAGTGCTTAGAATGATACCTGGAACTTAGTGAGCATTCAATAAATAGTAGCTTTTACTAATACAAGTGTGTGTGGGACCTAACGTGGTCAGGAGCTCAGATTTCTTAAGAGAAACTAAAAATCTTTATTTTTACAACAAGTATCATGGATTTTAATGGCATTAATTGAATTTATTTGAAAACCCATGTGATATAATTTAAGCCTATTTCAGAGACCATATCTGTCTCCTGGGTGGCCAGTATAAACCCTCTGCAATGTTGAGTACATACTCCAAGCAAATTATTCCAGCTACTCCTTTTAAAATTGAGTTTGATATGTCCCAGTTTCAAATATAAATGATGGGTTCTCAACTTAATGTCTATTAAGACATGTATTTTGATATATATTCCTGTGAGTTGAACTGTTTTCTGTTGATTTATTTGCACAAACCTGAGTTTTTTCCCTGAAATTCATAGAATATACTTTTGTGTTGACTAATTTGGAATAAGGTCTTGGTCTGCTATACATAGAGAAGCAAGTTAAGGACCTATGCAAAAATAGAAATTTAAGATTATATCTTCATAACCATCATTCTCCAAATCAAAGAACTATCTGGTCTTAACACTATTATCAACAGTGTTTGCATATTTCTCCAACTCTCTTAATTTGCAAAAAGAATATAAAAGAAGGTCAAAGAAATGCTTGAGTATATTTTTGAAAAGTGGCCTTCTGTTCCCTTATTCACTGCAAATCCTGAACATCAAGTACTAGAACAGTCTTTTATTTGGTCCCTAAAAAAGATTTAGGATTGCCTTAGAACTGGTTTTCCATCTGTGAAAGGAAGAACATGTGTAAAAATAATTTCTAAGTCTGCATGCTTCCAGAATGAGAAATTGGGCATTAAATTGTGTTGTATATTCATATTTCTGTAATTGCTCCAGCACCCTAAAACAGAACCCCAAAACTGATGACTGGCCAGTCTTTTTAGTCATTTGAGCCCAGAGGGGCATTAAAACCAAATGGTGGTAAGGGAAGTGTTGGCTTTATATCATAGGGCCTAAATCATTCCCTCCCCAATATTTCATCTTGAGAATGATCTAGAGTATTTACTGTCTATTATGAGATATTTCCAGAAGAAAATGACCTACTTACTTAAAGCATGGCAAGAAATATTACCAAGGTGCCACAAAGCTATTAATCTTCCTAGGGAAATCAAAGCAAGACTGCATTGATATCAGATTTGATACTGAGTAGCATGATTTAATTGATTGCATCATTTGTGAATTTTAATACGGTGGTTAGCCTCCCTGTTGGTCTTGTTGTTCACTCCCTGCTCTTGTTGGTTTGTATTTTGTGTGCAGCACCATCTTAGTTGTATTTGTGAAGAGAAAGGACTGAATGGAAACTTAACACCAATGCTGAGAGGCAGCCTGATTCTCATGACAGTTGATTTTGTAATGACTTGAAGTTTCTGCATGACCTTTTGTTTGATTTCTGATGCCATTCTTACCTTCAAAGCAGAGCTTTACAACTAGTTAATATCTACAAGGAAGTTATAAAAACAGCTTTCTTGGGAAATTATCAGATCAAATTATACTCCTTTTAAATTTATACTCCTTTTAAATACATTATTACAATGTGATTTTCTCCTAGACTTACCATAAATGTATATCAGTTTAAGAAGCCTTGGTCAAAACTGGGTGAGAATATTGCCTAATATCTGACCTAGCTTACTGCAAGGCTTTCTAACCTTCATTCATTCAATCCCACCTCTCATGACTTTATCATATTCAAGTGGTGACTATACTGCTGATTCCTTAGTATTTTTTTCTTTAAATTGATTCATTATTGTTTTTAGTAAAATTAATTTTTAAAAAGAAAGTTCATATTAGGGCCATAATGAAAAAGCAGAAGCATTTGACACAATAGAAGTTGATGCAAAAATACAATGAAAAGCGAACAAATGTTCTTAATTTTAAGTGCATATATTAGTGTTCTGCAGACTGAGTATATTGAAAATGAGGGAAGGAAAGATATTTGAGAAATGGGAAATTGCAGCTGGCACCAAAGTAAAACATTTCATTGATGTAAACAGAAGAGTAGAAGGACCATTTCTCAGGAAAGAATCTTCTCACCATGTAATTCAATGTCATCAGTGACAACCTTTGCTCACACCACCTGAACCTTCTTAATTTCCCGCCAGTCACATCTGTATCATACTTGAGAATAATTTTGCCTTGGTGGTAGATGGATATGACTTGAAGAACATCTTTAGTTCACAGTCAATATATCAAAACAGATTCTGCATCCATGATTTTTCCTCCAAACCATCATGTCTTTATAATTGCTCTGCATCTGGGAATAGCACCATCATTGTCTCAATGAGCCAGGCGTGAACAGTTAGAGTCATGTCTCTACCTCCCACCTCTAATGAATCACAAAGGCACTTATGCCTCTAAAGCATCTTGTGTAACTGTCCTCTTTTCTGTTGCCAATGCCCCTGTCCTAGTTCAGGATTTGTCTGTTCCCATCTGGACTGTGTTGGTAGCCTATTAAGTTATGTCCCTGCTGTCAGTCTCTCTCTTCCACAGTCTATCTTTTACACATTAATCATAAAAGCTAGCGCTTACTGAGCACTAACTACATGTACTGTAGCAAACTTTTTATCCAAACAACCTAGTTGAATTTTCATAGCCATGGTCCTATTTCCTACACATCACACCCAAGGTATCACTGTGGATGAGGAAACAGACTTCTAGAGGCTCATTTACTGCAGGGATCGGTTACAAAACCTGGGCTATGAGTTCAAGTGATTTGCTCCTAGACTTGTGCTTTTAATTATTATGCTATTTTATTCCCACTGTGGTCTAATGGATCTTCTGAAAACACAACTTTCACCATGTTTCAAGAATTTAGTAGGTCAATTAAGCACAAGCTTTTGTTCTCAGGAACTTTCCAACATTGTTTTCTATAATTTCCCACCTTGTGACAGAACTAATCCAACTATATTTTTCTGAATATAAATAGCCAATCCTATACACACACTGAATCTTAATTTTTCTTCTCTGAATGGCTTCACAAATCCTTTCTACCTTCTTTATGACTTTAAGGCTTAAAAGCATAGCATCTCCTCAACGAGGTCTTTACTACCTTTCATCAAAACAACTTGGAGCAATTTTTAAATGTGTACTCTTGGAGTCAGGCAGCTCAAGTTTGAATATTAACTTGTATAAACTATTTAATATATTTAAGCTCAGTATCGCCAATATTTCAGGATTGTTCTGAGGATTAAGTAATACACTCAATTAAAAATGCTTAAAACTTTCTCTGACACACAGAAAAGAGTCTGTAATAGAAGACATTCTTATTAATAATTATCATCATCATCATCATTCCATTAATTCTCCCTCAGAGCATTTTCACCCACTTTATGAAGACATAATTTCTGCTTTGTGTTGCTTAAGGCACTTTTTTCCCTACTAATTTTATTTATTTATTTATTTATTTATTTATTTATTTATTTATTTATTTAGATTTAAATTCTAGTTAGTTAACATACAGTGGCAATATTGGTTTCAGGAGTTAGAATTCAGTGATTTATCACTTATATACAACACCCAGTGTTCACCACAAGTGCCCTTCTTGATACCCCTCAGTCATCTGGCCCCTCCACCACCCCCTCTGTCTCATGGTTTGTTTCCCTCTCTTCTTTTCCCCCTCCCCTTTCCATGTGTTCATCTGTTTTGTTTCTTAAATTCCACATCTGGGTGAAATCATATGGTATTTGTCTTTCTCTGAGTGGCTTTTCTCGCTTAGCATAATACACTCTAGCTCCATCTCCATCAGTGCAAATGGCAAGATTTCATTATTTTGGATGGCTGAGTAATATCCCATTGTGTGTGTGTGTGTGTGTGTGTGTGTGTGTGTGTGTGTGTATACACGTATATATACAACATCTTCTTTATTCATCCATCAGTCAATGGACATTTGGGCTTTCTCCATAGTTTGGCTATTGTTCATAATGCTGCTGTAAACATTGGGGTTCATGTACCCCTTTGAATCTGTTTTTTTTTAATACTTTGAGTATATACCTAATAGTGCAATTGCTGGATCATAGGGCTTAGGCACTTTTTATTTACCCCTTTCTGACCCCTCATTCCAATAAATCATAAATTTCACAAAATTCACTTCTTTTAATCATCTTTGTACCCATGATGTTATTAGTATAGTGGCTTGCTTAGAGTTGTTGATGAGTAGCAATTGTAGAATTGATTGTTTATGACAATTATATTGATAAACCTGCAAAATTTCTCTCAATTTAATAAGCAGTGCAGAATTCTACTATGTATATTCTCATTACTCATTG